ATTGTTTTAAATTTATAATTAACCAAACCGCCGTCAGTCGTGTGGCAAAAGCACCTTTGTCTTTATAAACTCATCAAACTTAGGATATATGAAAACAAGATGTTAAGAGTTTTGTATGTAGGCTTTCATAAACATGGGATAATATTTGAAATTTAATTATTTTTTATATAATAATTTTATTACTTATTTATTTATTATTTCATTTTTAATATTAATATAATATATAAATAAATAATAGTTATTATTGTCATTCTCATTATTAGTAATTAATATTCATTTATTATTTAGTAATTTATTTATTTTATTTATTAATTTTTTTCTGCTCATTAAACTCGGGAACTATATAATCCAGAGCCCAGAAACTTGCATTCTGTAACCACAATAAAAGAAAATACGTTTAAACTTTTAGAATGAACCACCTTGAATACAATCTTATATCAGAGAAATTCGTAAGGGTAAACCAAAATCTTATAGGCAAACTTATTACCCATTTTTTCTATTGTCCGTTACCTTTAAATATAAAAAACAAGTTATAGGCACATGCACATTAGGGTTAGAACTCGGAATCTACATGAACTGAAGCTATGCAACTTGGTATATGAGTTCTTAAACACAAAATGTTTGAATTGAATTTAAATTACATCTTGTCATTTATTAATATTAAGTTAGTTGCCGAAAAGAACAGAAATTTGTAACGTCGAATTTAGTAAGCATAAAAGTTTTGGGTAACATGTTTGCGGCGCTTCTGCTTCGTTTATTGTTTATCGGGCACCTCGAGACTGGCTAGAATGACAGTAATGTCATCGGGCTTGCCGCCAATGCCATAGTCCACATTGTTGGCCCTGGCCTTGAGCGCGAAGGGGGACTGAAAAGTGGGGCTCACTGAAAGGGTTTTGGCCAGTTCCACCAAACGATTGGCGGCCTGCTGCAGATACTCGGCACGAGTCTCGCCCTGCAGCGCTCGCAGCTGATTGATCAGCATGCTCTCGGGCACATTATCGAATAGGCCATCTGTGGCCAGCAGTACAAGATCGCCCGGCTGTAGTGGCAAATGTGTGGACACCGCCTGTTCGGGCGAGTCCCGGAGCACACAATCCATAGCCGGATGCGGCGGTACTGTCAGCTGGTACGGCGTATTGAAGCAGTGGAGCTGCTCATCGGAGCGATGCAGTACTCGACCATTGCGCAGAACCAGAAAACCGCTGTCGCCAAGATTGGCCGAGTGGAGAGTGCAGTCCGGGCGGTGCAAGGTCACCAAGCATGCGGTGCTGCTGCCGCATACATTGCATGGACGCTTATTTTTCAGCCTGTCGTAGCTGTCGATGAGTAGCTGGCGCGGATTGAGGCCATCGTATTCGGCCTGTTCGGCGATCTCGGAGCAATGGCTCATCAGTTCCCGGGCGAAGACTCCCGCGTCTATGCCCAATTTACGCCAGCCGCCCACGCCATCGGCCACGCCCATTGTCTCAGCCTTCGGCGTGCTGCTGACGAACCAGCTATCCTCGCCAAAGCGGTTATCCTCGATCAAGCGCAACTGCAGATCCGTTAGCGGTTCCTTGGAGCTACCCTGTATGGCCTTGATCAGACGGGGTACACCCTTTGCGCTCGCTATGGAGCTCAGAAGGCGACACTGGGCGAATGCACAGTTCAGCACTTGCGAGGTGCGATTGGAAAGGTTACGCACCGTAAAGAACATTTTATAATTTTGGGGGCGAAATTTTATAAGCAAAAAAGAGTGTTTTTCGAATCGAATTTCAAACAGAAACTTGGAATTTCGAGATTTCGAATCTGGCATAAATTAGTTTAACAGCTATCCATCGGACATTACGATCTGAACTTGATTCGACTTAGATCCTCAATCATTATTCGGCTATTGGTTAGCTTCTAGGCTCATCCAAAACCAAAGTTCCTACACAGAGCGAAAAGTTGAACCAAAATTTAATTTATCTTAAAATCATAAACTACAAATGGGCACAACAAAACTTGGTATTAGATTTAAGCATTGATTTAAGCTCCACTAAGAAATGAACAATAGGAAAATATTAATAAAGAGCACAGAATTTTGGAACAAGTAATATTTTTTATTTACTTGAAAAGAGCATAAACAATCTCAATATAAATTCCGAAATGGGTGTCACAAGTCTTTGAGAAATTCAAAAATAAAAAGTTACAAATGTCAAAAGAAAAAAACTCATTCGACCAAAAATAAGCATAGAAGAGTTCGAAGTATGTAAATATATACTAGGAAATACTTTAAAAGCATTTTATTTTAGATTTCAATATGTTTTTTTATTTCATATACATTTGCAATCAATCAATTATGAATCCTTAAACGTGCAATTGTTGCAACTTGCAAAGTAATTGTTCATTATCGTAGATGCCATAAACTGTTGGACTCTCAAGTTCCTTAGGTTCAATATGTGGACTAATAAGTGGAACAAAGAAAATGTTTACAAGCCCAACACGTAGACAGCTCAGTCGTCGGACCTTATCAACAGGTTCTACAGTTTCTAGATTATAATCGCACAATAACTTTAGATATTTCATTTGTTATTTTACTGAATAATTCGCTCATTCAATAGCGTCGGCAATGCCTTCCCGGTAATGCCATTTTGCGTATCTTATCTTCTGGGTATACACAGGGCCTACGACACAGTGTCAATACCTTTGGCACCTTTTCTTTTGTTTTTCATTGAGTTTCTATAAATCATCAGCGGAAGTGAATAGCGTATCCGTAGCGTTTCGCTTATCGCGAATGGCCTATCAGGAAGGTGGGACAGGTAAACAAATGGTTAAATGGCGAATTTATTTATAAACTCCTGATGTAAACTGTTCCAGAAATCAGCGCGTAGCTTATCAATTATATCAGGTGCGATACGACAGATTCGCCAGAAGTTGTTTTGCATTATTCATGTCATTCGTTCATTACGGTCCTAGAGCCCAAATTTCCTGCTCCGACAATTTGTATGGCAATATGATATGTAAAGGATTTATCAAAAACATGCGATTATATATACTATACACTTCCGACTTTCGTATTCGCCTTTCATGGCGACGCTTATCACTCTTGGCGGAACTGTGGCGATGACGTTAGATGCTTGGTTTTAGCTACTGATTCCTGGAATTTGCCAGGGCGCTCGAGGCCGGGCTTTTATAAATAATCGCATCGCACAAATGGGGGCAGTACACGTAACTCCCAGCGGGACCCGCATTTACAATTGCGGTACAGTTGCTACCGCATACTATTCAGGATTGCGATTTCCATGTCTATTTTCGTTATGCAGTTCAGCCCTCAGCTCTACAGATGCGGGTGGATGGCGATAAAGTGAAGAAAGAAAATATTTATATGTTAAATGTGTAAAATATAATCAGGTTCAAGAAATTACAAGGCGACCCGAACCAATCGCAGCTTTCGCATTTATCAGGGTCCTATATTAGATCGATATATTATTTCTGTACACTCATCAATTTCCTTCTACCTTTACTTAAATTTCTCTTCTATTTATCTTTGCAGGTAAGTAAATCCAAGGGTTACTGCAAATCAATTACCGCAAATGCCTTGTGTCACGTGGCCCAGTTCCAGTTCCAATTACAGTCGCAATCGTTAAGACCCCCCTCCTCATATACCCCCTCCTTGCGACAGGTTCATGTAAGTGCCTTTGATACTCTCATTGTAAACAAGGTCAGTGCGGCCTTTTGTATACCCTAAACACACACAAATTTATAAAGTGTACCTAAATATTAAAGAAATTTTTGTTTTTAGGTCATATTTTAAAGCGCCGAATGACTTTAAGGTTGACTAAAATTAAGGTTGCACTAAAAACGGCTTAACTCTTAAAACTGTTATACAAACTGTTATATTGTAAGCTGTAACGGATCTAGAGTTAGCACATGGTCGAAATTGTTATATAAGCGAAAAGGAAGAATACTATTATACAATTGATTATTTATTGTCACTGTTATACAGTTAAAACTATAGAGACGTATCTGATATACCATCGGAACTGTCCTATGGTTTTATTATTAGGTTTTATTTGATTTTATTATACACACTGTTATACATTCAGCACCAGTGCTTGCATGCACTACAGGGTATTCCGTAGTCTACCATTAACATGCGACATTTTTGCTAGTTTTCCACTGTGCATGAAATTAGAAACAGAACACGTACAGTCGCATGCCCCATCGATATTTGTGTGTAAAAGCTGACATATCGTTGATAAAGTCCAAAGCTACAGTAAACAAACACCTGCCTGCCACACACCTGTAAGCAATGGGGTAGATACCACAACATAAAACACAAAGCTAATCGAAGCGAATCAAACAGCAGCAAAACATTCGAGCGACCCATTTTGGAAGCGCAGCAGATGATAAGGCCAAGTCCGAGACCGACTATGGCGGGCCACAAAGCCTGGCCATTGTAGTTAGATGTGTGTGCGTATGTGTGTGTGTGTGTGTGTTGGGTACTTTACCTACATTTATCTTTAAATATAGTTGCTTATGTCATAACCAAATTGTCTGGCGATAAGATAAAGGCTGGTCGGCAAGAAGCTGCTCAGCGAAACGTAGCCAAGAAAATTTGGGGTGTGGGGCCACGTGAGCAGCGCTGCCAAAATGCAAGGCAAATGACAAACTGGGGCTAAACCCAACAGATGCACACACACACACACACTTACACGCAAAAATGGTCACATGCGTATGCATGTGTGCGAGCCATGTCAAGCAGTGTGGAAAAAAAAGCTTCAGACGCTGCGCTCAGGAAATGCCAATCGGCTTCAGAAAAAAACTTTAAACTCACTCAAAAATGTTCAATGCGGCGCGCAGTCTCTCTCTTTTGCGGACTCTCTCTCTCTCTCCCACTCTTTCGAGCGCAGTGGAATGCGATAAGCGCTCAAAAGCCGTTGGCGCTGCCAGCTGGCGTATAAAAGTCGTCGGCGCAACGATGACGCATTTAGTTGAAACCCGTTGGCCGTGCGAAACGTTTCGGCAAGTGCAAAATAGAGAATTTCACAAAAAAAAAAGAACTTTCAAGTAGAAAAAACTGCTAAGCTAAACGCGAAAAATTTGTGTAAATATTGTTGAGCATATTTTGTAAATAATACACACACGGCATGTTCGAGCGAGCGCGCGACTAATTCGCGGAAAAAACTGACAACAAAAAATAAATTCACACCAGAGACAATACAGCTACAGATACAGATACATTGTAAAGTGCGCGCTAGATACAAATATCAACATCAACAACAATAAATACAAAAGCGAATTTCGCCAGAAATTTGCATTTGTCATCGGCACAGACGACAACGTCGCCTGTTGCGCCTATTAAAGGCAATTACTACCTAACCGATATCACAGAGAATATAGACATATATCCAACAAACATGACGCTGGATAACTACAATATCTTTGGCGATGAATATCCACTGTTCAACATGCCGTTATCGCCTTTGCCCAAAGTGGTAAGCAACCAAAAAAAAAACGAGAAAACAATCTCTAGACCCCCCAACTACAGTTTAATAAACAGTTGTTTTGCTTATCAATCAAGTCGCTGTGGGTTGGGGGAGGCCTGAAATTTCCAGAAGTCGCGGCCAGTTGTCGTTTTGCATTTTTTTAAAACATTTATGTAAATACCATATATGGATCTGTACATATATATACATATGCATATATATATAAATAGAACATTGCATTAGCCTTATCGTCGCAAATAATATTCTTGGAAATTTGTCGTCGTATACCCTTTGATTTTATTTATTTTTCTTTTGCGCCCCCATTATATATCGTATTTTGTGTGATTTGCTGTTTTGCGCTTGAATTTGTTTGTTTAACGATTGAATGGCAGGGTGTCGCCTTATCAACGCAACGATTTCTATTCATTTTTTTCTGTTTTTTTCTTTCTTTTTTTTTCTGCGATAATAATAATTATTATTGAGTGTGGCAAGTGTACAAATACTAGTTTTGTAGGCGGCGACCCACCTAAAATCCAGCATTTTGCGTCGCTGATAAACCACAAATATTTCAAATATTTGTACAGTTCTGACGACCTTCGATAATATGGGGGCCTAATTTATGTTTAACAATTGTAAATCGATTTCGATAAAAAATATAATCGTTCTTTGACTAAACCTAGTCACTATATGTTTCGATATATGAAGTAAGTGCGGCCTCTCATATACTTGAACTTTTCTAAATTTATATAATGATTTTCTAATTATTTTAATGCTGTTTTTGGTAAATTATAATGATAAATGCATTGTTGACTGTACTTGTGACATGTTATCGATATATGATTTTAGTGTGGACTTTATATTTTTTAAGATCTTTGCTAATTTGTGTGTTTTCATATGATAAACTAATTCTGAAAAGTTAAAAAAAGTCGAATTTTCACAAAATGTGATATCTTTATATATGAAAATTTATACATTCATCATATTACTTGTATATTTTCTTTTAAATCTTGACTACTTTGAGTGTGACACCATTTTTTTTATCGATATATGATCTTACTGCAGACTTTTATATTATTTAGCTTGAGTTTTTCTGAGATGATAAATCAATACTAAAAAATAATATTTAGCTGTTCGACTCAAGCTCAATTATTTTATGCGTTATACTATAAATATTAATATATATTAGAATTGTCGGACAAGCATTGATTTTATGAAAAAGTTAAATTATTTTTGAATATCACAAATTTTTACATAGATTATTATTCATTTTTGAACACTTTTTGTTATAATTGATTTTCTCACACTTCGGCTTTATAAAATTTATTTATAATACTTTTTTGTTTGCCTAACAATACTTATGCGATTTATATTGCAGTTTTGAACAATTTTCTACGAACAATTTGTTTGTTTTTGTTTCTCGAGGCATATTTAATTGCTAAGGGATTTATGTTACATGGAAAACTATTCGCCACCCTCTTCAAAGCCGAAACAAACAAAAAAAATCACGTTGCCAACTCATGAGCAGCTATAAAAAGCAGTTTGTCCGTTAATTTATTTACTTTTTTGCAGTTTTTTCTTTTTTTTTTTTATTTTTTTTTCGCATATTACGTCCATTGCATTTCACAGTCCAGTGATCGGGCGTCTGGCCGCGGCGCCGCTTGACGATATCGCAAACACGTGCGATTTTCGTGGCAATTTATCAAAGTTTGGTTGCCAACTAATTCGGGGCTTATACCTGGTATATATATATATGCATAAATATATCCCAATCACCCTGCTGTCGTACGGACACGGCACAGGGTTCAATGCTCAGCCTGGTCTGGGCTTAAATGCGCGTAGAAAGCGAATTGGAATTGGCAGCCGTCGCATGCATGACCCTTCAACTGGCACTAACTGGCCCAAAAGGCATTCGCGTGACACTTGATACTCGCCGCAAGCTCGCTTTCATAATGCATTCGCACATAAGCAGGGTCATGCTGGTATCTTTATATACAACTACTTCTCGAATATATGTGTGTATACTTTTTGCCACAATTGGGGCGGTTCAAAGTAACATGCTTCAAGTCAAACACTTGCGACTTCTGACATATGCGACTTAAGCTCTCAAATTGTTTAATTAAAGGCGCTTAAGTACAAATGCACTGAGAAAAACATTATACTAAAACAACAAAAGCGTATGGCCTACAGTCTGGCAGATATAGAAGAAGAATAGTTAAGGTCACAATTGCTAAGTTTATCTTAAAAACCATAATTTTCTATAAACAATCATTTTTCGAATGATGCAGCTAGTTAATATGGTATGATCGATCCTATGGCAGCTATATGATAATCTGCTAATGCTCATAAGATTTTATTTGTATATAAGGATTAAATTATTATATTTAACAGTTATACTTGTAACAGAGCCTGTAATAATGCTAAAATGTTAAATTTGATAACATAACACCACATTATCGATAACTTTAAGAAGGGCTTAGCCAACACTGGCTGTGCTAGATCATTATTCTCATTGATTATGGACTAAATGCGCGCGGAAGTCTTTGATTTTTGTGAGAAAAATATAAAATATAAATATATATATTTATTATATTTAACAGGCATGCTTAACTATTAAATTAAACAACATTGCATATAATCGATAACTTGGCGTGGCTATCATTATTATCATTGCGATGGACTGAAAGTGAAGTCTTTTACATGTTTTTTCACGTAAATATATATGTCTATACATATTCGTATTTTATATACATATTTTTTCATGGAACATTCAAAAAGTATTTTGATGTTTGCAACTTTGCTTTTAAGATCTGAAAACACCTTAATAATGAAATAATATTGGTTTCGTAAACAATTTGTATTATTCAAGTTTTCTCCAATGTGATATTTTTCGCTGAGTGTAGTCCGTCTTAATAGTGTGCGAGGGAGTTACAAGGGCAGACTCCATCACTCATTTAAGTAGATGCACGTTGAAAACTCTTTCAATGAAACGAAACAAAATGAGTGTGTGCGTGTTTGTGTGTGTGTGTGTGTGTGTGTGTGTGTGCTCCCCCACAAAATGAGGGGGCAAAGAGACCAAAGACAATTTTAACTTTCTTTGGCACCAAATTTTTGAACAAAACAAAAATAAAAAGCACTTTTAATTAACTGAATATGGCAAAAGTGCACAATGTGTGGGGGAGGGTTGGGGGTTATTCATTCGATTGTTTTCTTATGAATTTGTAAGATTTATTTATTTTGTTGGAGGGGGGATGGGACGGGCACTTACCGAGTAGTTTCCATTGGTGGCTGTGGGCGTCTTTGACAGTTCGTGGGCCCGAAAGTAAGAAAGCGCACTTGACAAATACGTGACAGCCGGTGTCAAAAAAGTACAAGAAAAATATAATACAAATAACTACCCATACATAAAATGCTGTTAACCAGGCTGAGCTGCGTGAAGAGCTCAACATATATAGAGCAAATGGATTGTAAATGTTTAAAAGACACTTTTTACACTGTAAAATTATAATTTGCTCAAATGTGGCTTTTAGATACAGATGAATATAAATAATTTCCAGATAGATATAGATATAATATACAGATATTATATATAGATATGTATAGATATTATATATATGCATAATATACACTGTAAAATGAAAGGTGTGTTGTTGATTTACGGCAGCTACATAGATATAGATAACTGTCAGGTCGATATATATATAGATATTATTATACAGATATTATGTCTTTATAGTATTATACTATATATCAATGCTTGAAGAATCTTGAGCATTAAACTATCTCACGCCACATTTACCTACTCTATCTAATTGTTTTTGCTTAAAATTCGCAACTAGTTCTAGCACAGCTTGAGTGCAGATGCACGTCTGCCGCTGTTGCCCTGTTGCCAACTGTAGAAATGATTTCATTTTGTGGCTAAGACAAGAAAGTAGGCGATTAACTGGCCAATTGTATATGTGTTTTTATATATGTGTCTGTGTTTTATTTTTTTATATTTTCTGGCCATTAAATTGCGGCCCAGTTAATTGCAGCGTGAAGTTGAACATTGGACTAGCTCATTGAATTACAATTCAATTTTGTGCTAATGCCTCATGTATATAGATACACATATAGATATGTGTACCATATAAAGTCTGCAAGCATTACATTGGCTGCTAATTTGATCTGTCATTTACTTTTAGAGCGCAGTTGGCAACGTTCAGGACATTGGGCACATATGTGTCCACCATTATTTCCGACCCTTTCATTTCGTATGTAATTTGAAGCAGCAGTCAAGTGACCAGCAAGAACTACAACAGCAACAACTGCGACAACTACAACAACCAACCGCAAATGCACATTTTCCTTTGAGTTTTTCCTTTTGATTTGGCCGGCGTCGCATTGTCCTTCTTGGAATTGGCCCAGCCTTTGGCTGGCGAAACGTTTGTCTGAAAAGTGAAAACAACTTTTACTACTTAGTCTGACTGCTGACTGCCAACTGTCTGCCAAGCTAGACCCTCCTACTCGCCCTACTATTTGCCCTTGTGCAGCGTCGCCTGCACTTGCTACGTGTTGTCCTTGCGTCCTGTGTCCGCGGCGCCTCGCCGACGCGTCGTTTGTTTGCCATTTCCTCGAGCTGGCAAGCTTTGCCATAAATATCCCGAACTCCCCCAAAAGGCATGCATGTTGTTGCTGTTTTTTTTTATTATTATCTTCCATTGTTGTTGCTTTGGCTGATTGTTTTTGTAGTCGTGTCGCGACAAAATGCATTTAAATAAATTATTCCTAGACCAATGTCGCGTCATTTTATTAGCCGCTTTTCTCAACTGCGGGTATTTCCCCATTTGCCGACTGTCCTTTCTCTCTCTCTCTCTCTCTCTCTCTCTGTCTCTGTGTATGTTTTACTCTGCAAATTTAATTACAAGTTAATGACACTTGAACCAGAGTGCAATCCCAATTGGCAGCCAGCAAGAGTTCCACTGAATACTATCTATCTAAATATGAATTGACTTTATCAATGCCCACAGTTG